AAAGATCCGCCTGCCTCTGCCTCCCGAGTGCTGGGATTAAAGGCGTGCGCCACCATCGCCCACGAGCACTTGCTGTTCTTGCAGGGGACCCGGGTTCAAGTCCCAGTGCCTACAGTTCACAACCATCTGTAACTCCAGTCCCATGGAAAAAGTTTTAAAAACTGTTAGACTAGATTGCATGATTTTTTCCCCATAAATTTAATGTTTATTTCCCCTCTCTCATATCTCTGACTCCCTCACCAGCGTTGTAAGAGGAAAAAGCAAGACCGAAATAATGAGAAACTGAAATCAGAGTCAGTAATGTTAGCAAGGGGGAAGTAAATCATCTAATAGCCTTTAGCAGAGAGCAGCCCAAGAGAAAGGCTGGGATATAAACAAGATCGTTAGAAAACTGCACCCATCCCTCCCATGCCTGTCTGATGCGCTCCTGCATGGTGGAGAAATACATAGACTACTGTGGGAAGGAAAAATGTGTGTGATGGTAATTCTAACCGACTGTTGCAGGGTGGGGAGGAACACAGCTCTGGATCCTGGACATGAGTATATTGTAATTTTTTGGGGGGGATAGTGGACACTAGCAAAAATTTTGAAAATGTCTCTTAACAGGATTTCAAGCATGCCTTTAATCCCAGCACTAGGGAGGCAGAGGCAGGTGGATCTTTGAGTTCAAGGCAATCCTGATCTACATAGTGAGTTTCAGGACAGTCAGAGTTAAACAGTGACTCTGTCTCATAAATGAGTGAATGAATGATAAATAAATTAATTAATTAAAAACATACCTTGGTAACAGTTGGATAGAAGCAAACTTCACTGTAGTGAGTCCACTCCCCTGGCAAGTCTCGCGTGAGAATATTCAGAAGATCTCTTAACAAACCTATTTGTAGTGGTAGAGATGCTCTCCTGTCTGTGTGTGCTTGGGACTGATAACCAGCCATTATCTTTTTGGAGGAAGTCCCAACGTTTTCTTATATGCCCTTGCTAAGTGTATGACCGCTTCTCTTTTTTACATTCCAACTCCATATTGCTCTTACCACCTTATGTTCTACCATTAAGAGCAATCCCACATACATCATCGCTGTGGTCATCTGAAGCTCTCCACAGATGCCTCACAGTGTCTCTGGCCAAAAGTGAATGATGGAGGCACTCGTCTCTGTTTGTTCAGTAGAGTTAGCCATCATCCTCCTGCTTATTTTTCCCTTCTTCCCAAATCTGCTCAACCTTGATAAATGACTAATCAGTCTGGGCGTGGTGGGACACTTTAGGTGAGGGCACGCCCCAGAGACCAGGACTGACCAACTCGGCTGCCACCCAGGCCCACCCTAACATCTACCCCACGAAGATGTTACCCTGCTGGAGCTCGTGAAGGGACTGGTCCTGGGGAATGATACTGGAAGGATCTTCATGACTTTGGCAACAGCAGGATAGTCAAGAGCCTTGGGAAAGGTCCCGTGGTGGAACCAGAGGCTTCCCATCAGACCAATGACTCACTGCAGTGAATATTTGCCAAATCAAACTGATTGGAGAGTGTACTGAGTGAGCCGCTAAGGCTCCCAGTATCACTAAGATGAATGGAAAGCTGTGGGAGAGTCGGGAGAGGAGGAGGAGCCAAGAGGTTTTTGTTTGCTTGTTTGTTTTATTGTTTTGTTTTGTTTATTCGAGACAGGGTTTCTCTCTGTAACAGTCCTAGCTGACCTGGAACTAGCTCTTGTAGACCAGGCTGGCCTCGAGCTCACAGAAATCCGCCTACCTCTGCCTCCCAAGTGCTAGGATTAAAGGTGTGTGCCACCACCGCGGGCCCGAAGAGGATTTTTTTTGTTTGTTTGTTTGGTTTGGTTTGACTTGATTTTTTTTTTTTAATTTTCTTTTGGGTGGATGCGGCAAGGAGTGAAGGGCCGATATAGGGGGACTGAGAAATGAGTGGAATTGGGGTAAATGATGTGAAATTCCCAAAGAATCAATAAAGAAATTATGTTAAAACAAAAACCTCTTAGGATTTCCAGTGTGCACTGAAGACCAGCAACCTCTCTAGGACCTCCCTGAAACTCTAGCCCCCGACTGAGCCTGCTAATGTTAATCCCACCAATCGAGAATAAGACCACCACCACAATTTGAAGCCAAATTGGATGCAAGTTTTAATTAAATACTGGCCAGATGGATGGACTCTGGCCAGGTACACACCCAGGTTCTTGGGAAATGGCCTGGAATCACAGTTTGTAGAAGCTTAAGGAGGAAAACTCATAATTCATTGCATTTCCCAACAGGTCCATTGCTGGGGCAAGCGGACATCCTGATGCACCTTTATCCTGTGAACCTCCAGCCCACAGGTGATAGAGCACTTTGGTGCAGATGGGTCAAGCAAACTTGTTTAGAGAAATGAAAAACATGGGCGTGTTATCTCCCATAAACAACAGCCTCCAGCATTTCAGGGGTTATCTGTTCAGGGCCAGGGCCTTACAGATCAGGAGCATTTTATTTCATAAATCTCTTAGGCATAGTAATTAAAACTTAAAATGTAACTTTAGCTCTCATACTAAGACATTCAGTTTCATGGATTCTTGGTCTTTCAGGGATGGTAGCATGAATTCTAGTTGGTCTTAATAATAAAAACCCAGAGTCAGAATAGGGGTTAATTAATGCTGAAGATGAGAGAAGCAGAGAGGCCAGCCACTAGAGAGTTCTTTTACCTCTACCAGTGTTCAGACCGAAGGGTCTCCAGCAAACCTCAGACTGCATCTGTCTCCACCAAGCCTCAGACTTGCCTGAGCTCCTGTCTCCTTCCACCTTCCGTTCCTCTCCACCCAACCATACCATTCATGTCTCTACCCCCTAGTGCTGGAAATAAAGGCGTGTGATCCCAACTGCTGGGATTACCTTTGTGTGAGCTCTGTTTCTGTTTCAGACAGATTCAGTCTTGGGAAGGCCAGGGTGACCCCTCTTGGAACTTGCTCTGTAGACTCTTGAGTGCTAGGATTAGAGGTGAGTGCCACCAGCTTTAGTCGGCCTTCTCGTGGCTCAGCTCTGCACTCTGATTTTCAGGCAAGCTTTATTTTTTTAAAAACAGAAACAAAATATCATTACACAGAGAAAGAGCCATTACTGTATTAACAGGACCACAATCTGTAGGCCACTCTAATAAATCCCTTTTAATCTATGCATGTTCATTCTATTAGTTCTATTCCTTTATGAGAATGTTGCCTATTATAGAGACCTGTCTCAAAGCAAACAAGCAAATTAAACCTTTATAATAAACCTTTGTAGAGCATTTGGGCTCTGAGTTCAGTACTCAGTCCTGTAAACAAAAGAAAAAAAAATCTCAAAAAACCAAAGGGTGAAAAAGTCTTTTTATTTTGATTTTAACTGGGACATGAAGGTATATATCTGTTTTCACAGTACTCAAAGGCAGAGGCTGACAATCTGATTTCAATGCCAACCTGGTCTACAGAGCAAGTTCCAAGCCAGCCAGAACTATGTGATGATACCTGTTATG